TAGGAGTACATGCCTTTATTCATATGTGTTCTCTTGTAACAGCATAAAAACATCGAATCACTGTGCAGTTAAGATTGTGGTCGACATTGGCCAATAGACTTTCTGATAATGGTACTAAGGAATATGCTGTGGGTCCATGGACTGGTCCTTGACATTAGCTGTAAGGTTTAGGGTTATTCTTTGCACTAGTTTGCTAGAGCTGCCGTCACAAAGTACCACAGACTGGGGGGCTTAAACAACAGAAATTGATTTGCTTACAGTTTTGGAGGCTAGACATCTGAGATCAAGGTGTTGGCAGAGCTGGTTCCTTCCTTGTGGGCCCTGAGGGAAGCATCTGTTTAGGCCAATGACCTAGCCTGGTGGATGGCCGACTTTTCCCTGTGTCTCCACATCGCCTTCTCTCTGTTTCTGTGTCCAAATTTCCTCTTCCCTGTAAGGACACCAGCCTCATTCGATTTGGGCCCACCCTTGTGACCTCCTTTCAACGTAATCACTTGTGTACAGATTCCAAGTATGGTGACACTTATTTGAGGTACTGCGGTTAGGACTTCGACATATAAATTTTTTGTGGAGGCCACAATTCTGCCCACAGCATATCTCAACCTGGCAGAGTATGTAGCTCCGAGGGGACAACCTGCCGGCTCTATTCAGATATTTGAAGCATTGACGCTTAGGGAAGCAACTAGATTTATTTTGCACTACTTAGATGTTAAAACTGGATGGTAACTGCGTAAATGGAAAAAAAAAAAAACCCAAATTTGCTGGTGGAATTATCTGACCAAGTTCGCTTTGTGAAAAACATTTCCCTACTAATGAGACACCTTATTTCTCCATAAGTTTGAGAGCTGCACTACCCAGGAGAAAGTAGAACGTAAGCCACTTAGGAAATTTAACATTTCCTAGGAGTCATATTAAAAGAGGTAAAAAGAGGGGCGCCTGGGTGGCTCAGTCGTTAAGCATCTGCCTTCGGCTCAGGTCATGATCCCGGGGTCCTGGGATCGAGCCCCGCATTGGGCTCCCTGCTCCGCAGGAAGCCTGCTTCCCCCTCTCCCACTCCCCTTGCTTGTGTTCCCTCTCTCGCTGTGTCTCTCTCTGTCAAATAAATAAAATCTTTTAAAAAAATTGAAAAAAAAGAGGTAAAAAGAAACAGGTGGAATGAATTCTAACAATAGAGTTTACTTAACCCAATATGTTTATTTCAATATATAATCAATATCGACAATTATTAATGAGCTATTTTATATTCTTGTTTTCATTCCCTGTCTTTGAAGTCGTACAGCACATCTCCGTTGAACTAGCCACATTGTAAGTGGTCAGTAGCCACAGGTGGCTAGTGAGTCCATCTTGGAAATGCAGGCACAGAGTATGCATTCTCAACTGGGGCCACATCACCTCCAAAAAAATGAAGGGACAAAAAAATCCTTTTTGAGGGACAAAAAAAATATCTTTTTAAATTTTGTATAAAGATACACATATGACATATAAATAGATAGGAGTATCTGTGATATTAAAATTTCATTGAGGATGATTAGGAAAATAAATGTCTAAAAGGACTCTTTAGCGGGACAATAATGAAAAAAAAAATAAGTTGCAAAGCAGCAGCTTCTTAGATCATTATATTAGGCTCACTATGGATGTGTTGATGAGATAAGGATTCGAGTAAACCAGTTTCTATCAAATAAAGAGAAGTAAATGGAAATTTACCGTGCATCATCCACTATTACTCAAGACAAGTATGTTTACCAGTGTTCTCTTTTTCAAGGCAGATGTCTATTGGGGGAAGAAAAATCCTTATAACTTGCAACAAGCAAGTTAAAGTTGAATTCTTAGAGGCAATGTACTTACAAGACACAGGTTTGTCTACATTTTAAGCTCGCTCTTTCTCCCTGGGACTTTATATCACTGTGTTCCTGACCCAAAGCCTCGCCTGTTGTAGGCCTATGTCAGCGGATCTCAAAGTGTGGTCCGTGGACCACCACCAGCAGCAGGACTGAGGGCTTATTAGAAATGCATATTTTCAGACTCAAGCCGAAATCTAATGAATGAGAAACTGGGGAAGGGGCCCAGCAATCTGTGTTTTAACAAGTCCCTTTAGTAAATCTGATGCATCCAGAAGTTTGAAAACCGCCGTCTTAATTGGAATCCGTGTCTTATGGATATAGATGGAGAGAAATAAAAAATAGACGTTCGGAGAGTTGTCTCCATTTTTCTGCAGTAAAATGCAGCAAGAGTTACAGTCTGTCTGCAGTTGCCTTGGAAATGAAGGATGACCATCTATTTCAAACTTCAAACTAGAGCATATGTTCTGACAATTAGGAATACTTGTGATCTGGGTTGAGTGGCTACTTTGGTATGGGGAGAATATAGGCACTTGCAGCTATGTGGGAGGTGGGAAAAAAGCAGGTGGAATTGAAAATGGATATTCATGTATATCTGGGTCAAATCCTGCCTTGGATGGCAAGAATGCCAAGTTCCAGCTGATCTTGGAATGTTAGAGGTGATTATGGAGGAAGCAGGCAGGTAGCCGAGATAAATGATCATTTAACAGAGGGACCGTGGCCGGAAAAGTGGGGTCAAGAAAATATTGAACAAAGGAGCTGTAATTTTGAAGGAGGAGAAGGAATAAGCTAGAAATAGCAGTTTTGGAAGCAAATGAGGCAGCCTAGTACAGTGTTCTAAAATACAAGTTTGAGCAGGTTTACCCTGCTGCTTTTAAATATTTGATTGTCTGGGATCCTTGCAGTCAATTGTCACCAAGATCCCGATTAGAATCTTGTCAGATGCTCTTGTCAGACACTCTGATAAGAAAAGGAACCAATCTGAGACTATGTTAAAACTGCAGGTTAATTCCAGATTCACCGGAAGTGGGGATGTGTACTGCGTGAGCCTGTCAGAAAGTTTCATTTTGCCTGACTCTAGAGGATGATGGGTGATAAAACAGACCTGAAAATACTGCTGTGATTTATTGCACATATTGCTGTGAACTTTTATGTATATAATCTCATAGAAGAAGCTTAAACTATTTTAAAAATGTTCTTTCATTATCATATTAAATTTGTTTTCAAATGTCCTTTTTTTACCTTTAGAAGTAATTTTGAAATCTTAAAATTTCAGCTGAATTTCCATGTAACAGCACAATCCTTGTGAAAGATATTTTCCAAACTGCACGTTAAGAATGCACCTTAAGAATATCGGGATAAAACAGAATGGCAGTACTCAAAAACTTAAACACAGGACTCTCGAATGATCCAGTTATTCCACGGCTGGGTATAAAACCACTGAAAGTAGGGACTCAGATATTTGTGAACCTGTGTTCATAGTGGCAGTATTCGCAATAGCCAAAAAGTGGAAACAACCCAAATGTCCGTTGACAGCTGGGTGGATAAACAAAATATGATATGTGCATACAATCGAATATTATTCAGCCTTACAAAGGAAAGAAATTCTGACACCTGCTACAACATGGATGACCCTTTAACACATGATGCCAGTCACAAAATAAACCAGTCACAAAAGGATAAATATTGCATGATTCTATTTATATGAGGTACCAAGACTAGTCAAATTCATAGAGACAGAAAAGTAGGTGGTGATTTCCAGGGCCTTGAGGGAGGGGGGAATGGGGAGTTAGTGTTTAATGAGTGTGGCATTCCAGTTGGGAAGGTGAAAAAGTTCTGGAAATGGATGGTGGTAATGACTGCACAATAGTGTGAATATACTTAATGCCACTGAACTTTATACTTAAAAATGGTATAGGTATTAACTATAACTATTTATGTTATAGGTATTAACTACGATAAAAAAATGCCATGATAAACTTTCATTTACTATTTTAATAAATCAGTTTTTATGCATAATCCACTAATAATAAATAATTTTATGAGCCAAGCATTTGGTCCAAGTATTTTACCCAAATTATCCTCTTTAATTCTCACTGAGACCCTCTGAGGTAGGTATTATTATCATTTTTTTCCAGTTGTGGTTGTGTAAGATGAGGCACCCAGAGGGGACAGGCATCCCCAAGGGGATGGCCTTCAGAACCTAGCTTTATGATGAGACTCACCATGTAGACTAAAACCATTGATCTGTTCTTCCCATCGGGAAAACAATCCTCAATTCCAAAATTATTTCTGCAAGTTCTGATTTTCATTATAAATCATTTTGATCAGGTAGAGGATATGCCATACCTTGGTTATAATGTGTATGAAAAAGTTGAAATAAACTGATAATTTATGTCTCTTTTAAAAATGTAATTCCTGCAAAGGCCCAAGTATTTCAGTATAAAAATCCATATCCAGTGACATGTGTTTTCTTGTGCAGATGGTATGCCTTTCTGAAAATTGCCAAAAGAAAAGAACACATATTTTAGAAATGTTTAATATTATAATTACAGTGCATGCAGTTTTTGCTTTATAAAGTGCATTCCTTAAACTCCAAAGACTATTTGCCTATTATGTTTTATTTTATCTTATGAAATTTAAATTTGTAACAATTTCGTGTATATCTTTCTGAAAATATAGATCATGGCCTTATTTACTGTTACCTTGGAAACAGCAATGCCCAAATAGTATGTTTACTCTCTTTAGTACTTTTAAAGATCATTTTATAGCACAAATGTAATTTAAAATACTACATTCAAACATGGATTTTAATTAATTTTACTTATATACAATAGGTAATGGTGCTTAATCTTAAAATTATTTGGAAAACTAGGTATCACTTTTTAATAGAAAACATGTCAATTTGTCTTAATAAATATATGCATCGCTGGGTTTTTTCTTTACAAGTAATGCACAGATATTCTAATTATTAATAAAGAAGCTTAGTTATGTATTAATAATGCTGTGAAGTTAGGATGTCATGTCTATTTTTTTGAAACTTTTGCTAATCATTGATGACCTTGGAGAAACTCTTAACAATTATTACTTGTTAAATGACTCCTCGGTAGGACTTTCTACAGTGATATATGTTGATATCCGTGTTTTTTCTTATATTTCTAGGACTCTGCTATTGTCACTCCAATTATTTTGAGGACTGACCCTCAGGGATTTTTCTTTTACTGGACCGATCAAAATAAGGTAAAAAGTGAGATATGTTTTTCTTATATTTTCCAGTTGGTTGCTGATTTGCCAAGTGTTTAAGTTACTTACAAGTATATCCTTGTACCCACAAGTTACTTTAAGTATATCCGTTTCATGGGTGACCCTTTGTAATTTATTTAAAGATTCTGCTTAGAATCCCTAAGGTGGAAATGTCTTAGGATTTTCCAAGGATTCTAGTCCAAATTATTAGATATGCTAAATCCTAGAACAATTGGTATTTTTTCAGGACAAGAACATGGAAATGTGAATTAAATTTGTTGTAGAAAAAAGTTAGGCAGCATTAGGGACTTAAGTCCCCCCTCCAGGTCTACTCATCAAGAATAAAGAAAAATGATAAGAAAGTCACTTTTGACCCAAATGACTATGAGTTTGGCTTTCTTTTCCTCTTCCTTCTCCCCTTTGCTGCTTATTAAAGGGTTCTCCCAGCCTCGGGGGGAATTGGGTCGTGATCATTTGTACACATTAGAAAATTAAGAGTAAGATCCCTTTAGTTCATACCTTCAGTTTTTCAGGATTTTTCTTTTCATTTGAGCTTCCTGTCTACCATATCATGAATTTAGGATCTCATTTACTATGAAACCGATTGAGATGATTCCATATTGAATTATTAAGAAGTAGAATGTCTGCAGATCGCAAGATTTATTTGGAGTTTAGGGGGCAGAAAAAAATATTCACAGAAAGTAGTTATTATTTCAAGAGACAATGCCATAGTTCTGTTCCTGAACCCGTAAGGCCACAGAACAGAGAATATTTTGACTCTGTAAGTTCTGTTATTTGGAGAGATGGGTAAGCTTTATTGAGTGTGCTAAATACATATTAAAACCAATAAAACACCTGGTTCCACCTTGTGAAGGACTGTTAGTCTTTTCACATCCCTGAGTTAGGTCCCTATAGCCAAAGTTATTGGAATTTGTCAGCCTTTCTTTCTGCCTTCAGGGCAACCTCGACTTCACCTGTGAGAAGTGGTCTGGAACTGACTCTTTGCAATGGCATGTTTGGGGTCAGGGTGGAGCCTGGGGGAAACTCTCAGGGTAATGGACAGTACTCTCTGGCTCCTAGAGCCAGTCCTGGACGTGCTTGTTTACACTCATCCGAAAGGCGAATTTTAGCCTTGTAGCCCTGAAGTTAATTTCTAAATACGGGTGCACTGGAATCATCTCTGGTCCCAGGTAGATGCAGGGCTAAACCATAGACTCCACGCTAATGTCAAAAAAAAAAAAAAAAAAAATGTATTTGAGTAAGATTTCCTACTTAATGTTCATGTTTATTACTGGGTGTGTTAATCACTTTGGCTTTGACATTCTGTTTGGTTTCCTGCTGTTATATATAAAACAATGGCTTGAAAGGGTTTTTTTTTTTCCTCCTAAAGGCTATTTTTAGAACTGTTGGAGCTATATTCATGAAAGATATATTTATAATGTCTCGGGCATTTTTAAAGGTTGGGTATTTGTACAAGGGACTAAACTGTCAGTTTGATTTTTCAGCTGGTAAATCAAGCTTCTATAAAAGCAACAGAATGTATTTTGGTTTTTTTAAATTATTCATGGCAACTCAGTTAAGCTCCCTTCTAAGACCAGTCATAAATATTTCTTTGCTTAAGAAAGAGAAAGGGTTTAGGACCGAAGGTTCTTTGATGCACCTCCATTGTTCTGCAAACCCAGGATTTTGACTAATGCCTATTTACAGATGTAGGAAAATTTCTTCAAGTTTTTTACAGCAATGATTTTCTCTTGGTTGTAATGCAGTTTATGACCAATTGAAACAAATAATTCAGTAGCAATTCCTTCTATCTCTTTATTATTGTCCCTCCCATGGATATTAATCTTACAGTTCTGCTAAGAGATGGTAAATTTCATTTCTCACTTTTTAAATACCTAAGTCATCCCTCAGTCATATATCAGAGTTAGGAAGTTTATTTTCTAGTCAATGATCATATATCAGTATACAAAAGATGAGAGGATTTAAGAAAAAAAAATTAAACTTTCCATGCTTCCAAGTTTGTCATTTTCTTCTGGCTTTAAGCCCGGTCTTGGAGCCAGAAGGAGTGATACATTCACTTCTAGGAGATGGATGGGTGTAAGTGATATATTAGAGGATATGTATGCTAGAAGATGATGCTCTCAAATGAGGGATGGCAAGCCAAGCTTTCAGTCCATGTTTTTGCATAAGATCATCGGATGGTACCTGGCCGCATGGTGCAATCATGTTACTTAGAGGCCCATTTTCTTTAAAATATTTTTTCTAGCCATGACTCTTAGTGATGTGAATCTATCACATGTATTATAGAGATCGTGTCTCGGAGGAAAAACAATAAACTTTTAAGTTTATTCATCGACTTTACACACTGTGTTTTCCATGGGCTTGGAACCTTGCTTTGGTATTCATGGTAATGTGCTTCTCGGCTACCTTTGGGCTTCTTCCCACCTTGTTTTCTCCTTTGCCCATCAGACCTGTGCCAGAGCGACGCCTGGTCTGCTCAGAGGCAAGCTGAGTGGCTTTAAGAAGCTCTTAGTAAAGAAGCCCTCGTAACGAGATCTTTCTTTTTATAGCCCTAGAGGAAAATTCTCACATTTTACACAATGTCTTAGCCATGTCCTCTCTCCTGTGGCAGACAACATGATACTATACTCCATGATACATTATGCCATCCTGCACATGATACTACAGACCGGAGCCACCGATTTCACCCTTTACGGACAATGACATGCTCCCTTCCTCTAACTCCCCCTTTGATTGCTCGTCATAGAAGTGACAGGTGGCAAAGAAGACAGGCAACATAGGAGATGGATTTAGGAATTAAAAGCTGGAGCTAGTACCAAGTAATTTTTAGGTAGCAAACATGTGCTTTGGTGAAACATTGAAAGACTCTTTGGGGCTGGTGGAAGCAATAAATATGAACATGATCTTAAGGGATAAGTGTTCATACATTGTACCAGCTCTGAACTTATTTTAATCACTTTCTTCTTTACCGTTGGCTCTGTACATCTCAGTGACTGTAAGTAGCAACAACAAGTTTCTGAATAGGACTGTTTGAAGCATGGTGGTTTTTCTTATGTCGGTGTGTATTATAAAGAGAATGAGCTTATTTGTAATCATGGGTGAGCAGGGCCTCCTACACAGCCTGAGTATTTAAGAAGTTGCCAGCATTAGGCTAAGCCTTTCCTTTGGTCCCATACTGGGACCAGGACCCAACACAGAAAGTGTCAGCCATGAAAATCATGTAACTACAAGAAACATCTGCATCACAATTTTGGAGGAGAAGCCAAAAAGAGAAAAGAAGTCAATGTTAAAGAGCTAATACAAACCTATCCTCCCAGAAGATGAAACAAAGTAGACCTTTGCCTTGCAACTTGATGCCCTGTTTCTGTGCCAAGGTTGGTGTAAAAATAAAACTAGTTACTCCTAGTTCAGATCCAAGACGTTCAGTGCAGCTCAGCGGACTCTTCCTTGATTCCTTAAAAGAGGAGCTTGGAGGGAGATGGAAGAAGAACACATACTTATATTAAGTTGAAAAGGAATAGGAGGAAGATTATACATTTATAAATGAAGGACTCCTACTACTTTTTCTTTTTTTATTACAGATTTTATTTATTTTTAATTTTGTGAATAATACAAATACGTTCTTTGCATAAAAGGGTAAAGCAGTATAAATGTCCTTAACCACTCTTCATCTCTAACCCCAGTCTTAGTCTTCTCTCCAGAAGTCAACCCTGGTAACAGCTTCATGGTATATTTCCAAGTCTCCTTTGAAGGAATTTTACATGCGTAACTATGGAAATATTTCTTTGTTTTTTTTTTTATGTCTGTATATATCCTAAATACCATCATATGATTTTTACTGTTCCATGAACCCGTGTTTTACTTTATAATTTGTCTCAGAGAATTTTTCATGTAAGTACCTGTGTATCTATCTCATACTTTTAAGTTGCCGTATCAAATTCCATGGAGTGGATTACTAAATTTTATTTAATGATAATCTCTCACTGCTGGACTATTTGGTGTTTGTTTCTAATTTGGGGCTACAGAAAACAATCCTTCAGTAGTCAGCCTGTGTATCCCGCTCTGGGTATATGGGTCAGGGTTTCCCTGAGGTAAATTATCAGAACTACAATTGCTGATTGAAGGCTATACATATCCTAAATTTTAGTTAATAGTTGCATCGTTTTATAACCCTGCCAGTCTTGTGTGAGAGGAACTGTTTCCTCAGGCCTCACCAACACTATTAAGAAACATTTTATTTTTGCCAATCTGATGCAACTGTTGTATCTCTTTGTTTTAATTTGCCAATGTGTGATTTGCTGGTAAGCTGTGCATATTTTTATACATTTATAGACTGTTCCTGTTTTCTGTTACATAAATCTTATATCCCTTGCCTTGTGTTGAGAGTTTTCTATGTATTCTAGACGTTAATCCTTTAGCTGTTATACATGTTGCAAATACTTTCTTCCTGTTTGTGGTTTGTCTTTAAATTTCTTAACTTTTAACTTATGCGTGGCAAAAGATGACTTGTCATTTTCAATTTTGATGTATTCACATTTCATTCTTTTTTTTTTTTTTTTTTTTTTTACTTTTTGCTTTACTTAAGGACTTTCCTATTCCTCATCCTTATGGCCATCATTATTATTTAATTTAAGTTTCTAATCTTAGTCTGTTCAAGCTGCTTTCACAAAATACCATAGACTGGGCAGCTTATGCACAACAGGAATTTATTTCTCACAGTTCTGGAGGCTGGAGTCCAAGGTCAGGGCCCTCTTCCAGGTGGCAGACTTCTCCTTGTATCTTCACATGGTGGAAGGGGCTGGGGAGATCTTTGGATCCTCTTTTATAAATGCACTAATTGTATCCTTGAGGACTCGGCTCTCAAGACCTAAGCACTTCCTAAAGACCCCATCTCCTAATCCCGTTTTTGGGCATTAGGTTTTTAACGTATGAATTTGGGCCAGGGGCTGGGGGGGACACAAACATTCAGACCGTAG